GCCTATTTACCCAGAAATCAGAAGCTCCAATATTTGTAAGTTTTTGCCTTAGTTTATAATGTTTTTGCTCTGACTTCTGTTGGGACATATGACTTCTCCAAACTAACCTGTCTTTTTAATCAGCAGCAAGAAAATGTCTTAATTTCCAAAGGGAATTCTGTGCTCTCCTAGCCCCAGGCATCCAAGGTAAGATAAGATTGCCTCTGATTCTAGAACATGTTGAAGCCTACAAACTAAGATATTAAAAATGAGGCAGTTAAAGTTTTGTCATGACTCTAATTAGTGCTTCAAGAGTCTTGTCATATGAGAACCAATGTCACACTACCTAGGCCAAAGTCAGAAGTCTGCATGGATCATTAAAGGGAAACAAGTAGGAAGCAACACTAACACTGAGAGGCTGATGTAAAGATCACACTAGTTTTGGGGGATGAAGAAAAGCTCTGGGACCAGGGTGAGGGAGACTGAGGAGGAAGGCACCTTTTCCTGAAGAGATAGGAAGGGCAAAATTCTTTATCCAGGCATATTGAAAGACAGTTGATGGAGAGAGAGTATTCTAGTCTCTGAAAATAAAAAGTAGAAGAGGCTAGGAGGAGCTGCTGACAGTCCCAGACCACAGTAGGTTTCCCACTGGAGTCAGTGTTCGTGGGTTTAGAAATGCATTTTCCTCTCAGCACATGTGACTTAGCTACTGTGTGGCTAGTCAGAGGAGGAATAAAATTGGAAATTCATTTTAAAGAAAATACCTGTGTTTTCTTAGTCCAAAATCAGCCCTCAGGGATGATTGAAAACAATTCACTGAATATTAACAGCACTAGACTGGGTCTGAGCCACCAACAGCCAGAGAGTCTGTTGGAGATGCCTCTCCAGCCAAAAGGTGTGCATGAGTATCATTGCTCCAGGTGGTCACAACTATATTGAAGAGGAAAACCTGCATAAAGTCATAGAACAGTGGACAAGGCTAATTATAGAGTCCCCTTCTTAGGACAGAGGCATAAGTGTGACAGTGGACCTTTATTCTGTCTAGATTTCAGGTCCCAAAACAAAGGACTCTGATCCCTCTTCCATCCCAGATAAGCTTCAAAACACTGATCATTTACTTAGAAAATCAGCCTGATAGCCAAATCCTTTCATGCAATGAGGATAATGCATGAGTGAAGATGCTGTCCTTGGATATCCAAGTGGCCCCATGTGGTCAAGGACAAGTTCCAAAAGTCTCAATGTTGTTGTTTTATTAAGAAATCTCCAATGTCTTTTATTTCCATAGCAAACTAGATGATGAAGGAGGTTATTCAAACCTCACCATCCTAGTGCATCTGTATGGGGAAGTCTTTTGGCATAGATGTTTCTGATATTGGCTGGTCTTTGGAAACATCCTCACCATTGTGCTAGAGCTCATTTTGAGGACATTGGCCAGCTTGTTCCCTTGTCCAAAGAGGACATGTGTGGGGGTTTTCAAATCCTCACCAGAAGACATGCCGAGAGAGAGAGAGAGAGAGAGAGAGAGAGAGAGAGAGAAATATCCATCAGTTGCCTTCTGTATGTGCCCTGACCAGGATCGAACACACAACCCAGGTATGTGCCCTGATGGGGAATCGAAGTGACAACCTTTCAGTGCACAAGACAATGTTCAACCAACTTAGCCACTCTGGCTGGGTGATGTGGTTTTGTTCTTTGTTTGTTTGTTTTGTGTGTTTTTAAACTACTAAGAACCAAATCTGAGGGGAATTGGGAGCATGTCCATCCAGAATACGGAAGGAACTAAAGCAGTAGACACAATGTTGCCCAAGGCAAGCACTGGATTGCTGCTCTAACACTTGGGATGGGTAATTAAAAGAAGGCTCTAAGCACTCAGACCCCGTCTTCTTGCTTTCTTCAGATAACTACACATTCATTTTGTTTCCTTAGTCGCTTCTGATTTGGGATGAGAAGCAGGAAGGAAAGAGAATTTCCAAAAGTAGGGAAAGACCTGCCTGGACAGAGGTCTCTTGGAACTAATCTAATGAATACCCTTTCGTTCCCAGGAAGAGCCTTGCTGTGAGGGAAACTATGTGTTCAGAACTTGTTGCTCTGGTTTCTGGAATGGAAGGCCACAGGAGTAGTGTATACAAGATCAGTACAGTGTGTAGAGCACATAGCTTGCTATTTTAGTGCAAACACAAGGAGCCAATGTTTAACATCAGCCAGAGCACATTTTAGTCACAAAGTCCTTTGCTTATACTTGGAAATTGTCCCCATTATGGCAGGATGGCTATGGGGACATTGTGAATGAGGACAACCACAGCAAGGCCAGGTTATTTTTTCTACCTAGTCTCACTCCCATATTTTAAAAGAAATCATTGGCAGTGAATGGTAGCCACACTCATTTTAAAAAGACTGAAAAGCCATCTCAGAAATTTGGATGAACAAAGCTATTGTCCCCTCTTCCTTCCTTTCTTTGCTCTAAGAACAAGAAACATTTTTCTCAACCTATGAAGACCAACCAGTATCAGATGAAATGAGGTGAGCTGTCTGGGAAAACCAGTTTTTCTACATCCAATCTGGACAAGGCAAGAGGTCAGAAGGCTGTTCTGAGGGATCCTCAAGGTAGGGCAGTGATCCCCTGTGTTGAATGGACATGGTTATATACCCATTGGTACTGTCCTCACCTCTTCCTCTTTTGGAGACATCTGCAATCCATGTGGATGAAAACCATGTAAATACAAGGAAAAATAGCTGTGTTAGGTTTTTGGGTGGATTTCCCACTGAGATCAGTGCAGGAGCGTATGGCTCCAAGATGCAACATGACCCTGGGAAAGTATTCTCAGGAGCATAGTGGAAGGCAATATAGTTCAGTGGGAACAGGCTCTGGAATAAGAGTCAGAAGATATGGGTTCTAATCCTAGGCTTGTCTCAAGCCAGCTGTGTGACTTGCGGAAAATTACCTCTGCATCTCCATTCCTGGTTTGAAAATAAGGAATCTGGTGTAGATGATGTGATCTCAAGGTTCCTTCCAGCTAGAAAACTCTATAATTCAATCTAGGCTAATACTAAGGTCCATAAAGACACAAAGAAATCATGCTAATGGCTATCCTTTCCAAAAACAGTGAACAGAAAAGGATGTTTTCTCTCAATTTACCCCTAGTTAACACTACTTATGAAGTTGTTCAGCCCAGTCCCCATATATACATTTTCCCATTCTTTGTCCCTATTTCTAGTTCGGTAAGGGAGAATATTCAGGAGGTAGGAACAAGCAACACATGGATTGTGTGTGTGTTTGTATGTGTGTGTGAAAGAGGGAGAGATAATTTGGGGGTGGAGGCAAATGTTTGTTGAATTATATTTGTTAACTGTGCAGAAGGTCACACAATGGAACTTTAGTGGTAAAACTGGACTGGGTAAAATTGGGAATAAATGATGAGAGTGAAGGTGCTCGGTTACATTTTTCTTTGTTGCCTTGAAAATGGGCCCAAGACAATAGTGCAGTGAAGGCCTGGGGGGGGGGGGTCAATGGGGTAAAAAAGGGAACATCTGTAATACTTTCAACAATAATGATAAATTAAAAATAAAATGCAATTATTGAAGGATTGAATTTTGTTGAATTTTGAACTACACCAAATCCCTCTGGAGTGGGAGTACAGAAACATTTCCCTATAATTTATTACAAGAAAGATGGAAAATCTACTATTATTATAGACGATTGTTGGTTTAAAGATTATTGTAATGAAAATATGCCATTTAGTATTTTTAATGGTACATACACTCTACAAGCAAAGAAATGCTCAGAGAGCTAGCATAGGACATGGACATAAGGAAATCTCAATTCCTCTTCTGGTCCTGCTTTTTCCAGCAGGTCATTTAGCTGCCTCAAACTCCGTTTCATCTTAGATTGAAGGAATTGGACTAATGAGATCTAGAGAAAGGGAAGAATCTTTGGAGGTCTGGCCTGAAGTTTAAAAACATATTGCCTACCACTGTACACACCACCACCTCCATCCCAAGTACCAGTTTTTCCTATTTAACCACAAATTGTTCTGAGATAAACTATCCAAACCTTGAACTTATAGAAAGAAGAAGGGGGTCAGCAACACGGGTTTCTTAAGGGGTTCTAACAAGCCTACAAATGGAGGACAGGTGCAAAAATAGATTTTCATAATTTGGGGTTCTTCAATGACCAATTTAATCAGGAATCATACTATCATCATCTGGACTCTTCTCGAACCAAAAATATTTCACATAGTTAACACCATCTGAAACTTGTCTAGGGGCATCTGAACTATTCCTTGCACCACTGAATTCTCTTCTACACAGTTCTCATCAGCAATGCCACCAATTTGCCACTGATCCATGTTGGGGTATCCTATTGTATCTCCTAATTATGAAGTGGTTGCGCGCATGTGTGTGCGCGCGCGCGCGCACACACACACACACACACACACACACACACACACACACACCAAGCTCATTCCTGTTAAAGTGGAGGAACAACTGCAAGTCATTCCATAGCCAAGCAGCCACTTGGCTCCGAACACTGCACCTTTCCAACTATCTGCACAATTACAAAGAAATTTTTAAAAATCTTCATATCTGCTAAAAGCAAACACAGAATTGGCATGCATGGCTTTCACTTAAATTTAGTTGTCTTTGCCATTATGGGCTATGATTACAGACAAAAAGCAGTGTTATAAATCTGTACTTCAAAGACTAAGAATTATTTCAAATATTCAGTCCTTAGCAAAGCAAAATCCTTTCTAGTGTTAAAGGCAAAAGAAAATTTTCTATGTCTTCAGTATGAAATATTAGGGTTATAGATAAAAAAGAGTTGCTTAAAATATGCCATAACATTTCATTTAAAATATAATTAGAATGTCTGGTCCACATTGAAATTATTAATGTAAGCATAACTGTTTAAAAGTTGTCAAAAGACTGATTCTATTGAATTGGCCTCTGCTATTTATTTTGTTTTCTCCTGAAGGTTTCTGTTTGCCAGTAACAGCATAATTCCTAAACTACGTTGCTCTGCATTTTTTTGGTAAATTTTCTGCATGTGTTTTTTAGACAAAAGAAAAATCACCAGTTTATAAAAAAGGAGCCTGAAGAGTTTGCTCCTGAAATATAGATATGAGGTTTTATAAAAAGGATATTGGTTTCTTGCTATAAAAAGCGACCAAAATGTGTCAGACCTGAAAACAAATTCTCACAGTTTTTTCAGTGTTGGCTGTTTACAAGGCATTCAATAGAACAGAGATAGATGGATACCATTCAGTTTGTGTAATAACTTGCTATGTTGGACAGACTCTTAGAGGAACCAGGTATATGAAATCCCTCACCCCCAACTCTAATTAATTGCTTATTGATTCTAAATTGCCCCAGTGGAGCAATTGACAAAAAAAATTCACTGCACTTTATAAATTCTACTTAGATGTCTATAGTGTATCCCCATTTCTGCCTAGTCTGGTTTGGCCATTCCTGTGTCATAGTTCTAGGTGTCTGGTGTCAGAATTATAAGTTGCTGGTGTTTCTCCCCATTGACAACCAGAACTTGTGTTAGACAACAAACAGGGTGTTCAATTAGGAGTAAAGAACAAGACTGGGGAGCTGCCTTGCCATCTTCCCAGGATTTTATAGCATTCTTGAGATTAAGAGACAAGGGGTATTAGTGATTTTGTGTTTGTCACTCTTGGATTTGCCAATGATTTTTTCCCCACACACACACATTTTAAGTGTTATGCATGTAAACATCCCTCTATGAAAGGAAAACTGTCATGTATAAGCAAAGTGAGACAGGAGAAAATAATGCAGGTGCCTAAGTGTTCAATATAAAGGTCATGGACTAGCACATTTTGAATCCCAGGAAAGTTACCCCAAATGATGGTTATCAATCTATCTCTTATAATCGGTAACTATAGATCAGTGGCCCAGAGGAGAAATCACAGAAAAATAAACCCAACATAATACAGTATGTTTTAAAAAATAACAACAACAACAAAAATAAAAACTTGAAAGCACCAATAGCCCTGTTGGACACTTGAGCAGAAGTACCCTATTGTAACAGTAATCTTGGATTTGTACTCTGGACTCTGAACACGCTCTCCTCCTTCACATAGAATCACCAAGTGAGTCTGAGTCATCCAAAGACAGAGGCAGGTACAGGTCCTATAAGAAAATAAGAAGAAAAGTTAATTCTCTTTTTCCTAACAACTTGGGCTCCAAAATGGACAAGATTATATGACTGCTTTGTTTTTTAATTAATATTGTCTCTAATATTATTTTGAAATAATTAATAGGAAGTTGAAGTACAGGGAGGTATCTTTGTACCAATGTATTCTTCCCTCAGTTTCCTCAATGGTAACGTAACATCTTGTAGGTTTCCATTTACTTGGGTGTTTGTGTATGTGTGTGTGTGTGTGTGTGTGTGTGTGTGTGAGAGAGAGTGTGTGTGTGTTCCCTTGCTATTTTACCACATGTGTATAGTTGTGTGACCTCCACCACAATCAAGATACAGAATTGTATTTCAGGCTCTCGTGTGCTACAACTTTATATCAACATCTGCTCCTCTCGCAACCCAAAGCCCCGGTAACCAATAATCTGTTTCCCATCTAAAATTTTGACATTTCATGAATGTTATATAAATGGACCATACAGTATGTAACCATTCAACCATTGAAGGGCATGTGGGATTATTCCAGCTTAGAGCTATTACAAATAAAACTGCTATAAACATCGACACACTATATTTTTATATGAATATACATTTTCATTTCTCTGGATAAAGTCCAAGGTTACGATTGCTGAATAGTATGGCAATTGCATGTTTAGTTTTGTAAGGACTGCCATATTGTTTTCCAGAATGGCTATACCATTTAAATTCTTACCAGAAAAGTATGTGATTCAGTTTATCCACATCCTCACCAGTATTTTGTGTTTTCCCTCATTTTTATTTTAGCCATTTTTGTAGGTTTGTATTGGTATCTCATTGTGGTTTTAATTTCCCTGATGGCGAATGCTATTAAATATCTTTTCATGTGCATATTTGACATCTGTAATTCTTCCTCAGTGAAATGTTTCTTCATGTCTATTGCTCATATTCTAATTGGATTTTTTCCTATCATTGAGTTTTAACAGTTATTTTATATTCTAAATATGTGTCTTGCTAATATTTTTCTCCCAATCTGTAGTTTGTGTTTTCATACCATTGGCACAGTTTTTGACATAGCAAAGTTTTTAGTTTTGATGACGTATAATGTATCATTTTTTTTCTTTTAGGATGTGCTTTTTGTTGCCAAGCTTAGAATTACTTGCCCAGCAGAAGATCAGAAGATTTTCTCCTGTTTCTTTTCTAAATGTTTTACATTTACATCTAAAGTCTATGTTTTAATTAATTTTTTACATGAAATGTGAATTTTAGTTTAGGGGTATTTTTTGTCCTATAGATATATAATTGCTCCAGCACCAATATTTGAAAAGGTTAGCTTTGCTCCATTCACTGCCTTTTGCAGTTTTGTCAAAAATCAGTTGTGGATATACATGTAAGTTTATTTCAGGCTCTGAGAAAACTGCCTAAACAAATGCTTAGCCCAGAAAATGTACCCCATCTACATATTTCCAGCTTATTTCCTGATACTTCCATTTCTAACCATTAGGATTCATGACTCCAATACTATTCCAAGCCTTGTTTATTGTCTTTAGGAGATGGGGGAATGAAATGGCATTTTTTTTGGTTTTGGTTTTTGTTTTTCATTGTCCCCAGAATTATATTTGGAGATCCTTGTGATTCCTCTTGGATTTACTTCACCCATTGGTCTAAATCAATGATTTTCAAATCTCTCTAAATTTCGCTCTCTTCTCTCTTTAAATCCTCTATTCATCTGAAATTTGCTTGGATGCCCAATACATCAAAAAAATAAAAGTGTAGTTGTTCTAGTTGAACTAGACATTGGGGAGGCAGGATCTCACCCACCTCCAAATTAAACACAATTTGAAAACCACTGTTTTTATTCATATTATCAGCAAGATACTAATGGTAACTAGAAAAGTTTAGGGACAATTCTGTGGATATTTAATAGACCTATTTTGCTAAAATGGAGACATAGAACTTCAGCAGAGAAAGTCCAAGAAAATTGGAAAATACAGTTTCTCTTTGAGGCAGAAGAAAAAGTGATGATGAGGAAGAGGGACAAGAATGGGAAGGAGAATGACTTATTTATCTAACATTAAACTGCTTTTTGTGGGAAAGAGGGGCAGGAAAAGTTTTAGGTATCATAGAATGGAAAGAGGAGAAAATTATATTCAGAAACATTAGGTTTTAATTTGGGCTAATTAGTACTATGGCATTGAACAAGTCTTTTTAGCATTGGCTTCTTCATCAAGAAAATGCAGACTTCGGAATGGACAATCTGTAATGTCTCTTCCGGTTCTGAGGCTATTATTTGGAACTCTCAAGGGAATATTAAATAATTAAAAAACACAACAAAGGCAACTACTGTGAATAGATTCAACTCTCATCACCCCACCATCCCTTCTCTGTAACTCAAGGGTTTGCAAACTTTTTCTGTAAATAGCTAGATAGTAAATATTTTAGGCTCTCTTTGCTGGTCATATGTGGTCTCTGCCACACAGTCTTGTTTGTTTGGGTTTTGTTTCATTTATAACCCTTTAAAGATGTAAGAAACATTTTTTTCTACATTGGGGATTCATCCAAAAACAAGCAGGCCATAGGTAGGAATTGAAAACCTTGTTTTGTTTTAAACTACCAAACGAGATTTCTTAGAAAAGTGATAAATAGGTAGGGAGTACAAGGCTGAAGAAACAATACAGTGCAATACAACTTATAAAATAGAATTGAAGTGGCATAGAATGGAGTTGCATCTCTGAACATATTTAGTTCTTCAGTACTTGAATATAGTGAAAATTGAACATAATCAAAGGTATCTTTGAGATCTAGACTCCCATAATGGTGAAGACTCTGAAAACCTGCTTTTACATAAATGTAGTAACACCAGGATAATTGTCAAAATCAACTCTTTCAGAACTCTAGAAATTAAGCAAAGGCTTGCAAAAATCCAATAAGTGTTCATTCAATAAAAATGGATAAATCTCAGTGAGAATACCAAGACTTATGGTGCTTTAACTCACCTTATTTCATTCTCTCATTCTCCAGATGCAGGGTAGCTTTGAAAACAAATAGCCTCACCACTACAGTATTTAAAAAACTACACCCTAGCAGCCTCTGGACAATGCAGAATGAGTTTGGAGCTCCCCCAAAATACCCTAGTCCCTGAGAATTGTCACTCTTTGACCTGTCTGGAAACTGCATTTGTAGGGCTCTTTTTTTATATTTGACCTAACTCGGAGCACACTCCCTGTGAACAGCCTTTTCAGGGAGTATTAATCAGCTGCAATTGCTTAAATCATAGCCTCCTTAGGTGGGGGAAATATTTGGGGAAAATGAAGCTGCTTAAAATCTTAAAGGAAAAGCTAAAGAATTAATGTCCATAGGGGACTTTGAAAAGCACCAGCATATTTCCAGTAATCTCTAAAGCCAGGCACATGTTCAGGACTGTGTGTATTCTCAGAAAAGACCTGAAAAGCCTCTAATCTCTCACTTTTGTTTGCCCTTGAGGCCCTGTGCAAGCAGCAATTGAAGGTTAAGACAAAGTTTTAAACTGCCTTTCAGAGTATTGAAATTATGCCCCAGTCCACACCCACAGAGCCTTCAGCAAAGACTTATCAGAGAAAGGTAATCAAGAAAATCTAGCAAAACTATCCTTCAAAAATGAAGGATAAATGAAGACAGTTCCCAGATAAATAAAGACAGATTATTTGTTACTAGCAAACATGTCCTACAAGAAATACTAAAGAGAATCCTTCAGGGAGAAATGAAAGGATAACAAGAGAGTAATCTAAATCCACATAAGAAATAAAGAATACTGGTAAAGATAAATACAGCAGATGGTAAAAATTTATTTTTGTACTCTTTTCTTCTGTTATCCAATTCAAAAGACAACTGCATAAAATAGCAATTATAATAATGCGTTGGTGAACTTATCCTATATAATAAAGAGCTAATATGTTAATTAGACCAGAAGTCAATAGGACCTTCCTGAAGGACCAGTGGGCGGGGAGTGGGGCCACGGGGCCACGAGGGCCTAGGCAACCAGGGTTGTGAAGGTCGAGGCAGCCGGGGCTGCAAAAGCCTACCCTTGCACAAATTTCATGCATCAGGCCTCTAGTTATATATAATGATGTAATCTGTATGTCAATAAGAGCACAAAGAGAAGGCAAAAGGAACAGTGCTATACTAGAGCAAAATTTTTATATACAATTGAAATTAAGTTGATATTAATTCAAAGTAGATTGTATTAAGATGTTGATTGTAATCCCCAGGGCAAACACTAAGAAAATAATACAAAATAAAATTAGTAAAAACACAAAAGGGGAATTAAAGTGGTACACTGTAAATATATTTATCTAACACAAAAGGGCAGAAATAAAGGGATAAAGGAACAAAAAAGATATAAGACAAATACAAAATAGCAAAAAGGAATATGTAATTCCCATCTTTTTAGTAACTGCACTAAATATAGATTAAACACTCAAATGAAAAGGCAGAGATTGGCAGAATGGATTGAAGGGGGAAAAAACAAAAACATGATCCACCCTAGCCAGTTTGGCTCAGTGGATAGAGCATCGGCCTGTGGACTAAAGGGTCCTGGGTTTGATTCCAGGTCAGGGCACATGCCCAGGTTGCAGGCTTGATCCCCAGTGTGGGGCATGCAGGAGGCAACCGATCAATGATTCTCTCTCCTCTATGAAATCAATAAAAATATATTAAAAAAATTTATATGATATGTTCAGTATATGCTAGCTCATAGAAAACAGAGAGCAGTAAATTAGTGGCATCCAAGGCATGGGTAGAGGAGAAAAGACCTGTAACTACTTAATGGCATAGTGATTCTTTTGGGGGTGATGAATATATTCCTGCACAATGGTGGGATTTACTAAAAAACATTAAACTGTACAATTTTAAAAGGTGTAACTTATAGTATGTGAAATATCCTAATATATAAAAACCCTAAGTCCATCACATCCACAATGACTAGAGACTCGACCTAATGCCCAGGCTGCACGTGCAGCAGGCTCTGGTGAGTGGGGAC